ATGACACACGGTCGACCAGGTCGCCATTTTAGTTGGACAAACCTGAAAAGATTTCGGAAATACATTACACTGAATTATTATTATTATTATTTATTTTAGTCCTTAGTATTTTACCTGTGGTCTGACAATGGGCAAATTTGACTGCACATTTTCCCATGACCGAACAGTATAAATAATGAACAGCTGAAGCTAAAGGTAATTGTCACGAAACAGTGTATACTGTATTTCTTCAGGAGCCGTTTGCTCCTGATTTCCTCTATTTCACATCTCCCACTTACCTTACCTTACCACGCAATTACCTGGCCACCAACTTACCAAATTCAACAATGTAATAAGATGACTAATTTACTCACTAGACTGTAAACTGACTCCTTCTTCCTGTAATATGGCATTGATTAGTCTCGTTGAGGAAGGGGAATGGGTGGGCAGTTGATTACAACAACTGTTTATATCGGTGGCGGTGCTTTTAGATCTGCGCAAGATATTAAATGTTGTAAATCATAACATATCATTACCAAAGCTTGAAGTGGCTGACATATATAACTGCAGGGGCAGAGTGTTGTTTCCTAGCGACTCATAACAAATTTGTTGCATTAAATGAACTACAAGTTATTGAGTCCCACCAGGCTCGGTTCTTGGACCGTTTTTCTTCTCAAATATAGTAGAAAAATCCCTGATGCTGACAAAATAGGAGAGCATGCAAGTACAACTGCCGCAGCGACCAGGGTTAATTACGACCTGAAAAATATCAGTCAACGGACATAATATTGTCGCACCCGGAAAAGACTGAGGCGATGAAGATCAGGTCACTTTCATCATTGAAATGGTGGAGGAACACCAGCATTTGTCTCAATAATAGTCAAGTTTCGAATTCGTTGGGGCAGCTTAATCAAATTAAGCAATGAAGACTCATTTATACAGGGATAGCTTCGACCTAAAGTTCAATATTCACAAACACCAGCGAAAAGGTGCCTGAATTTGAAAAGGTGCCTGAGTTAAAAACAAGAGACATGTACACAGTTATTAACACAGGTCTTCTTCTGACTGGAATTTGTGAATATATTTACCTTGGTGCTTCACAATGAAAGTGCACTGACATGGAGCAATCACCTTTGCTGTGCGTCTAACCAGGTGTATCCCAACGCTATTGACAATTTATTTTTAAGATGAGAAACTGGTTGGCTCGATTGCCCCATTGCTATGCCAAATTTAATCGCTGGATGTTCCTGCGTTTTCAACTGGTCTTCTGGTCTGTGCTATTTGCGCGTAGTGACAATGATCTTCTAAAGTCGAGTAGGGAAAATTTAAGATCTTGTACTGTGGCATTTCAATATGCGGACAGACCTGCTATGTACACTAACTGTAAGGGAATAGTCTGACATCATAGTATAATAATGATACTAGAGTGCTAGGAAAAAGACCAGAAATTATCTTTATTATTGTTTCAGCTTGCCCTATCGATACCGGAATCGATGTGCTCTTATTTTGGGGGACTGAATGGGGCGATTTCCATAGAGGTCAAGTTACGAACGTGGTCCCTCTATGTAATATCAAGAGAGAATGACCTAAGAGAGCGAATCCCCCATACATGACCCTCTTTCCATGAAAATTATATTCAATCTGTTCTTGGTTCTGTGTCATACTGCGTGGTTATTTTAAGGACGCCACCTTATTGGTCGGTTTGAGTGGCGTCATGTAATTTTAAACTTGGGCGGGTAATTCATTTCACTGCCGATCACGCACAGCAAGCGATATGGCGATATGATTCGTTCTCTTAGCTCATTCTCTCTTGGTAATATCCATGGCCATCCTCAGAATTATCCTGTGTAACATCCATTTAGTCTCGCTTCTAGCTCGGAGTTAAGGGTTCAGGCTTCCCATCCTACAGGAGAATTGTTTCCACAGACAACACATTAAATGAATGTGCCAGTTTCGTTTGAGCTCGTCGGACATATTGGATTCCACATATCTACTCCACGTCGTCAAGGGCTGGCCTGTACTGTAGCAATTTGTAATAGTCATCTTACTTTGTAATAACTGTCGCGATTAGTATTAAACCGTGTAACAAAAAAAAAGCTGTCGCAATTTGTAATAACTACCCATCGCACTATGTAGAGGGGGACATTGGGGGGTACCCAATACCTCAATACCGTAAGAAAAATTGGCAAATACCGAAATACCGTGTTGAAAATCGACGAAATACGGATACGGCCATTATGATCGTTCACGCTTACTTAAAGTTGTAACAATCTCGCGTGTCTGTTTATCGCAAGCATGTATGTACCTGCAATCAACCTGAGCCATTGCGAAAAAACGTGAGAAGACCTCAAATTGATCGGTACTGAACCATCTAAAAAGTGTGGTCATTAGATGATCTTGGATTCCCTACCATTTTTTTTTTTTTTAAATATTAACCTGATTTAGACAGGAGAGCGATTTTTTTTTTTTTAAATATTAACCTGATTTAGACAGGAGAGCGAAAATAAATAGTACCGCAATACCGTGAAGGATCTTCTTATACCGAATACTGTTAGCTAGAAGGATGAAAAACTGCATACCGCAGGGCTAGATGATACCGCAATACTGCACATTAAAATCAAAATTACCGAAATACCGCTTGAAAAAAAGCGCAATACCGCAATACCGTAAACCCCAATGTCCCCCTCTATGTAATAAACTTTTTTCGCTTTCATGACTTTGATCTTCAAGACATAAAACTTCGTGTGACATGTCGGCTAGTTTGCATCCGTTCATTGTCGGACTATTGGAAATTATCTTAAATTATTCTAGAAATTATAGAAGCAGCAGCGAAACTAGGAGAAAATGATGATGCTGATATAATAGTTAATTATCTTAAGCCGACACGTAACAAACACGTATTTCATGTATTGAGTTTTTTTTAAACATCATCTGTAAATTTAGAACATTTTGTGACCACTATGGTTATAGTGTTAATGAAAAAGCATTCATAAAAAGTCAATAGTGATAAATCAGTTTCATAAAAGGTAAAAAATATTTTCTCTAAAGTACTGTTAAAGTTGGAATAGTAATGTCTTTGGTAAAATCAGATCCCAGTCAGAATATTTTTTCATTATACGTCGTTGGTAAACAAAAATTTCAAAACGATTGAATGAATAGTGTCAACATTTCGCGATGAGCCTTCCTTTGAAGACTGAAATCAGAAGGAGTAGGCAACACTTAGGAAGTCTACAACGGCCACTACGTCTGATAATACGAATCAATATGGCGTGTTTTTTTACGATTAAGTTAACCTTTCGAAAAACTTTGAATTTCTTTCAGTAAGGTTGCACTGACTAGAAACACCTTATTATTAGCAAGCATTTGCATTTTTACCCGCGACGCCGGGCTAGATCTCATACGCATTGGTTCATTTATTTCAAAACAAAAAATATAATACAGCTTTTTCTTTAGTTACCTGAAATTGCGTGCTCCTTGTCAGATTTTTATAGGAACAGCTGGCAAACACATTATTCATCTAGTCAAATTGTTTAATTATAAGAAATTAATATCGACTGAATATAGAAACATGAACTTAACAAAATAAGGCTATTGGTGTTTTGCTAAGTGTAGAAAGGGAATAGTGGAAGTTACGTAGTTTAGTGTAGTTTAATGTAGTTTAGTATGTCTCTATTTTTGCTCAAAGAAATGTTAGACTACAGACAAAAGATATAAGTTCGAAATTTAGATGATGACTGACGAACAAAATTTTATTATGCTTATGGAAACTCCTAATTCGATCGAAACTGAAAAAAAATATTCAAGTACTGAGCATTTCGTGGTTCAATACACGATGGAGTGAAAGCAGTGAAGTCAAATGGCAGCACCGGGCTACAGGCCGCCTCTAGCGGCTTTGTTTTTGGGGGAGGTGGGGGGAAGAAATGCGATTCGCTAAAAGCAGAGTGGTGGGCAGCTGTAAATGTCATATATATATTTATTATTTTCAAAATTTTGCGTAGCATTTGAACGCTTTTTAGCGGTTTGTCTTTACTTTTCGTGGACTGGAAGATCGACGACTGTGTCGTTTCTTCTATGTTAAAGCCAGTGGCAGTCAAAATTAGAGCGTTAAGGCGCATCCCATTCTACACCTTGGACGTGAAATATTTTCATAATTCAAAATGGCGGCTATGTCAGATCCAATTTCCGTTCAGTTTCAGCATCGAAGAAAATTCACAGCTAAATGGCTTGAAATATAAAAGAAAGAAAACAATAAAACAGAAGTTAGGAAAAATCCCAAAATTACGTCAACGACTTTAAGTTAACATTAATTTAAAATAAGCCATTAGAGAGATTTTTGATGGAGGAAATTGTCATGGATGATCAGGGCAGACGACAAACGTGAAACATTACATGAGGTACCTTAAGATACAGTGACTGTAACACAGCCCTTTTAAAAGCCCTGGTTTAAACGACAATCTAATAGTATAAGGTCTCGACAAATTGATAATTTAAGGCCGATTAATCCATCATTTTATATGTGGCAAAAGTGCATTAATATTGAGCCCACGAAATAAGGAAGCTTTCTTTCACCCATGTTTGGCACAAAGGGTAAAAAAAGCGAAACACATTTTATGAAAAATGTTGGAAATCGTACCCCTTAATCTAGAAAGAGTCGCTTTATTATCTGCATTACTCTAGTTTCAGTTGAAGCGCAAATAATAAACGCTGTGGTAAAAGCAAATGTAAAACAAAGCTGCCTTTCTGTTTGCCTTTCTTGATGTTTAAAAGTAATACTGTCATTAAGAGGGTCACATGAAGATTTTTAATAGAGCATTTAATTCTTATTTTGACATTTTTGTTGATACAAGAAAACAATGATCACGTATACTATAAACTCGCATTATCAGATCAAAATCAGCTGCCATCTTCCTAATAATATTCCTTGAAATAGGCACATTGCTCAATCTCTCAATCTATAGTTATGATCTTTTTTTTAGTTATGAGTTAACTAACAACACGGTAATTTTCCCGAGAAGCATATAATGGCAGAAGTACATATCTGTTCAGCGCAAGATTTTCAAGAATATCAGTTTATCAAAGACTACTCTCGCCTGTGGAGCGTCTTCATTTCTTCCGCAAACGTCTTGCTTTCAATTTTTGCTTTTTTTGGAAACTCCCTTATTTTATTTGCTTTGTACCGATGTCGCTCGATTCATCCTTCAACGAAAGCTCTTTTCTACAGCTTGGCTTTGTCGGATTTTGGGGTAGGATTGCTGGCGCAGCCCTTACAAGTTGCCTCAGGTTTAGCGGTTCTCCGAACAAACCTCTATCTGTTCTGCTCAATTCAACCTTTCTACGCAGCAGCAGCGTATTTCTTCTGCGCGGTTTCGTTTGTCACCATTTCAGCAATTAGTATCGACCGATATCTTGCACTTCAACTTCGTATGCGGTATCGTGTGATTGTTACTGCAAAAAGGCTTCGCCTGACACTGGCAGTGTTGTGGATCTGCAGCATTGTATGGGCTGTCTCTCGCATGTGGAGCATGCGAGTAAATAAACTCAGCGCAATCATCTTCGGTTTCCTTAGCATTGTCGTAACGTGTTCGTGCTATTTTAGAATTTACTGGTCTCTGAAACTTTTAAACACCAAAATTGCGAGCCAGGCTAGAGCACGCAGAAAAAATAGGAAAGCTTTAAATATTTTACAATTTAAAAGATCCGTCAATAGTATGATGTGTGTTTTTGGTTTTCTTATCATTTGTTACATTCCTTATTTCTGCTCATTGCTGGCTTTTGCTGCCCAAGGTTACAATTCATCCATCGTTTTAGCTACTAATTTATCATCTGTGGTGATTTTTCTTAATTCTTCTTTGAATCCGTTTGTCTACTGTTGGCGAATTAATGAAATTCGCTGGAGAGTGATATCCATTGTTCGTAAGCTGTGTCCTTTGTGTACAAAGTCTAACTCGCAAATCCAAATCTCGAGATACTGAACAGAAAATCTCCGTTACACAAGTGGAAAAGCATCCTCTTTGTACATTGGTTGCGATTGACAGTAGAATCCTCCAATAGCAATCTAATAATGGCAGGCGAAGAAGAAGACGTGTGAAAATCACCAGCCAACTATAAAAATGAACCACGAAGCTACTTCGTATCTTAATCAGACAACAATAATGTACGATCTAGATTCTTTCGGTGGGTGGTTTCTAGCTATTAAAACTAACAAGACTAAAACTCATTCAGCGGTTTAGATATCTGCACGTAGGCTAGTTCATATATTTTCAATAAAACGTGCTATGAATTTAAAAAAAAAAAAAAAACATTTGAAAAAATATGCTCAAAAGCACTCCATGGAAACAATAGCTTCACTATCGCCCGCAAAATACTTATCCCTCGGACTCGGAAAAGCCATTCCCGGACCTACATGCAGACCCATACCGTCACCGTGGTACAGGAGGATTGTGGGGCTCGGCTGGCGGTTGTAGGACCCCTTAGCTTTTTTGTTACACTGTTTTGAAAAACTTAAGTAGATAGCCTGTTATGTCGTCTACTCTTCTCCTGGATAATAGTAATATTGTGGGATAGAAATGCAAATGACGCCGCTGGGGGCCGGTGAAGTCTTCAAACATAGCCTCACTTTTTCGGAAAGAGCAGTTTTGGCTTTTGGGAAGAACAGTTGCCATCGGTAGAAAATAAGACAGAGAAAAGGAATTTTCAAATGCATTTGTAGTGCGACCATTGTAGCCGGGGCCAGGAAAATAACATTACATTCCAAGAAAGTTGTTTGTGGGCCAGTCAGCATCTATGAAAAAAAGAAAATAATAATAATAAAAACAGTAATAACAATATAAGAGTGTTTATGGGGATTTTAGCGATCATTATTTAGGGCACTAAAACCACAAATAAAAATACATCAAAACTTTTACCTCGCTTCGTTGTCTTATTCATGGTATGTTCTTAGAAGTTTCTAGCCGTTTCTGCCTGATTTTAGGGAGTTTTAGTTCTGTCGTTGCTCTTTCTTGCTAAGACGATTTGGGAGAGGCGCTGCATGATAAAAAAAATGACTGCTAGTGATACTAATAGGATCGACGACGGCAACGGCAGCGAAAACGTCGTCAGTTTTAAGATGAATTTCCGTTTTTTCAATCTTTGTCGCGTTTAATCCAATTTGCTGAAAATGGCAAGTGTAGGCGAATTTCCCTGGAGTTGACTTCTTGAGGACCGCACTCAAGTTTAGAGAGAGAAAAAGAGATTCGTCGTCGCTTGTTTACATTTTCACGTCGTAGTCGTGCAAGGACGGTGAAGAAATGTACAAAAAAGCGTGATCACGTGCAAACTTGTTGTTTTGCGTAATAAACCTATTGCTTTTTTGACGTCCTGGTTGCTGTCGCCGTCGTCGTTGCTAAAGCTCCGTAATAGTGTGGGGGAGATGGGGGTGCCGGTTAGTAATCGGGGTGGCCAGGGGCGGGGGGGGGGGGGGGTCAATCCACCCTACAGTCTCAGAAAACAATAGATTGAAAACTTGCACCCAACGCTTCTTTTTAAATCTGGTCCGTCTCCTCGTCCTCCCAATGTTGTTTATCGCATTTAACTCACCAAATCTTGCACATCAACACTGGAAGGGCAAGAAAACAGTTAAGTGTCCCAACAACCTTGACATGGAGACTGTAGCACAGCCAGTTTTCTCTTTATACCAGGGAATTTAATCTTTTCAAAGATTAAATTTGGTTATGTAAGCTGGCAAGGTCTAAATGTGCGGAGATAAAAAAACCCACGTCATAAAAAGAACCCGGGACCGGAATTAAATTAAATTTGGATCGAAACTTCAATTATTTGACCATGATTTTGCAAAGACCTTCAATTACTTCAGCCAGGTTCATAACCCGAACTTTTCATGCGCCGAACGTAATTCAAATTGAGGCCAATCCAAAGTATTAAAACCGGCTGAATAGATTCAGACGCCGGACTTAACTCCAGGTAAATTAAACTAAATTCAAATGGAGAAAAATGCTCATAATACATGAATTTGCAAGGTTTTTTCACCAATAGTTCGGTTCAGCACATGAAAAAACGCCCCAAGGTCGAAATTCCTGGTCGGGCTAGGCGGGAGCCGTTCCAAATTGAAGTAGGCGTTTCTAATCGATTACGATTCAGACGCACAAACTTTTCATGTTCTTAAAATTTGGCGTCTAAACCGGGCCTTTACAGGAAGTTTGGTTCATATCACTTGGTAGACCTGTGGTCTTTGTCAAGGCCTGGATGCATTTCCAAACGCGAGAGACTGGTAACTAAGTGAAAATGAAAAATGGCGGCCGAAAACACAGTGACGAGCAGCCTGGACCGCTTTAGCGAATTAAAAGAAGTAACTACATTAATTGAATCTATAAGAGCTATTTGCCATGATGATGTATTACTAGAAGCTGCCGAGGAACGTTTAACTGGTTAGTGTATATGTGTGTTTCCCGGTTTCTTGCTATTGATATATTGCTGTCATAACATTTTCTACCTGAAAGGCGTATTAGCTCCGTTAAAATAATGCTGATCTAAGGGATTTTGAAAATAATAAAAAAAATGAAATGTTGTCCTTGTAAAAAGGAAAAGAGGTAAAAGTACATTTACTTTCTATAAAAGTGCAGTAGAGCAATTTTTGCGTGATAAATTTCTAATTTTTCTGTAAGCTGAGTTCACACCCTATATTGATAACTGGAATAAATGATTTCACCTTTTGTAGTTTAAGCGGCAGCTAAAGTAGCCCATATTTGTTAAGCGCAATGGAATTTGTACACTTAATATATCGATGTGAATTGTGAATTTCAGAATCATTCTTCTGTGCACATATAGTTTGCCAGCTTTATAGAGATAAGACCTAATTACCCAGCTAATCAATACTGCAAAGTCATTGATCCTCCAAGCGAGGGTGGGGGTGCTTAAGCTTAAAAACAGTGTTTTTATTTCAATTTTTTTTCCCTGCAGTTATATTAAATAAGTATCAAGAACAGCCTCAATTGCTAGATCCCCATTTAGGTAAGTACTCTTTACTTTCTTTCAGGGGTGTTTATACTGTAACTTGTGCCTTCTACATTTGCTAAAATTTTATTGTACAGTTATGTGCTACATAACTGTGCTACACATTTTACTGCTTTAAATTTTTATTACATATAAAATTTTAAGTCCATATCTTTTCAGATCGCCTAGTAGAAAAATTGCAGGAAATAGTACAAGACTCTTCTAATCCTACAAAAGTGAATCGCCAGGCCTTTAAATATCTGTATCTCATAACTAAGGTTTGTTTTCAATGATTTTCTATAAATAATGTATATTGTTTATGACACTGTGTAGCAGCTCTCTATAATTTGGATACCATTTAGTGTCCTTTTTATAGAGATGTCCTCATTATAAGGGGGCAATAAAGAAACGGGGCTGAAAAACAGCAGGATCTGCACCTCTGTCTGTCTATTTTAGTGAGTTGTCTTTCTTGTGTACTCATGTCCAAAGAGGGAGAGTACAGTGTATTAGGTGCTGGGACTCAAAATTAGCACTCTAAACTCCCAGTGGGTGTGGTTTTCAGAAGACATGAGTGAAAAGAATAATTAACATCCTTTAGGGAACATTTGAATCATTATCATTACTCCACTATAGATTTGAAAAAGAGATGGTAAATGTTGAAGAAAATCAGGACAAAAAATAAGCATAAATTCTTCAACAGAAGAAAGCATTTTCCTTTTGAAATAAGCCAGAGTTGTCAATGTCTTTTTATATTAAAGCTACCGGCATGTACATTTTAGCTGCACATTAATTTGTACTTCACTGGCCTCATGCAGAAAATGACTTTACATTTTTTTTAAACATTAATTTTGGGATTCTTCTTTCAACAAGAGTGAAGAAAATGGTCTCCACTTTTTTGACAGTCTCTGAACCTTGACAACGAGAAACAACTAGTGAATTTGCAATTTTTGCAAAGTTTTGTCAGTGGACTGAGATAGTGAGTTCAGGCTCTTAATGCCCCTCTTTGGGGCCAAAATGTTCAGTGTAAATTACATGAACTGTTACTCTAATTTTTACAAACTGAATTACATTTATGTACAGGTCAGAGGCCCAAAATATGTTGTACGGCTTTTTGCTCATGAAGTTGCTGATGTTGAGCCAGTTCTTGGAATGCTGGCACAGCAAAATCCACAGGATCATGAGGTATATAATTACTTTGTCTGGCAGTTGACGGTTTTTCTTCAGCCTATTATGATAGCCCCTTCTTGAAGGATATATATATATATATTTTTTAATGATCTTAAGCTTCCTTTCCATGCCCCAGTTGTTCAAACGGTGGACAGATAAATCACTGTCTAATGGATAAGCATAATTTAGCAAAACCAATGTGTTATTCATTGGATAGAGATTTATGCAGTGGATAGCTTTATCCTTCTTTCTAACAACCGGGCACAGGTAGCTACAATCTGTGACATTAGAACTTGGGTCAATTGAAGGAATAACATTGACATGTTGTGCTCAATCTCCTTTTTCCTTTCCCCTCTATGTTGGTCTAGAACTTAAACAATTCCATCAAAAACCTATTACAAGATAACATTAGAAGAGAGAACGACAAGTGTCAGAGCAGTGTGACCCAAGTTGAGTGTCACTGATTGTAGCTTACCATGAGCTAACCCTTTTTCAGATGAATAATCATCAAATAGTTGCTCTTTGCTTTAAATACCGTTTTGAAGGGTAGTGCAGTAATGTCAATGCTGGCCTTGGTTTATGTATTCTACTTATCATAGCTCTCAGGTTCTATATTTTGTAGAGGATTGCATTCCTCTTCCCAGCTTTTCCAGTATTAACCCTACCTTGCTCAACTTGGCAACGATGTCAAAAGCAAATAACTTTTTTACTGATTATTCATTTAGGGTTCAATTCTGCTCCCTCAAAGAGAGTGCATCTAACTTTTGTTTATTGTATGAAGTTTCACTACTGATAACTTTGCCTTTTTGTTCCATAGACC